CACGTCAGTGGCGAGTCATATCTACCCTTCACAAGCCTGCACAGCCCATGCTTGATGAAGTGTGGTCATATTAACCCCCCATGACCAACACGGCTTGGGAGGGCCTTTATCCTATTGTGGATTGACAAAGGGCTGTACAATGTTATCCAATTGTATTATTAGCCACCCATTGTATAGGACAGCCTTCCTCAGAGAAGTTGGAGTCGCCGGCTTGTGATTTACTTCTGAAGAAAATACATTGCCGTGACCATTAGCGTCTTGCATGTTGTCAGCTTATAAGGTAGCAGTGTCCTTGTGAATGGCAATGAGAAGTAAAAATATTTTTCTCTCTAGTCTGTTGTCCCAGTCCACCATGAACTCGGTCCCAGAAATGTAAATGCGTGTAATGTGTTTATCCAATTCGCGTGCTCAGAAGCTGAGCTTGAAGCATAAAGGAGGGATTTGCTAGCAGATGAGTGGCGCTCAAAATGCAGAAAACCAATTTTGCTTCTGCATCACCACCACCAACCAAACCACCCTCGCTTAGGTTTTGCCACTCAAGTATTTAGGCCACACAGAAACAATAACACAGACACACACACACATAGATACACACATACACACGCCCACACAGACACACGCCTCGGCAGTTTGTGATAACTTGTCAGCGATGTTTACATCAGCCACCCAGGAGCATTTCCCCGTTGTCCTTGCACCACAACCCCCCTCCCAGACCCCCCTCATCGTCCCAGCTTGCAATTTTTTCCCATAATGCACCATGATTTTCCTTAACATTGCCATGGCAACCGTCCCTCCCCCCCCCCCCCCACTTGCAACAGGGATTTCGATTGGACATCGTTTTAAACAAAATTCGTAAACACACAAAAAAAGAAACTTGTACCCAATGGTACAGGGCCTTCATTCAGTCCAAAGGGAGGCTTTTTATCATTTCTTGTTGGCCGAAAATAGTACGAGAATGCAGACGGGCATGATTCACATCCCGTTAGCACTCTTCCCCCCCCCCCCCCTTATTTTCTTTGTGTTTAACTTGTTGCCATTTTTCCCATCAACGCTATCCCAATTGTTTCCCCTCTCCAATCGTGGTTGGTCCTGTCGGCTTTGTGCCACGTGACAAAGTATCCATTTGGATCTCTCCGGGGAGGGGAGGGAGGAAGCAGTCGCAATGCTCCATGTTCGAGAACGGTCTAAAAGAAAGCGGATATCACAGAGCTACCTCCGAGATCCCATCAAGCGACGTCTTTCCACCCGCTGTGCCATATGCGAGTAATGTTTGTTGCACCGCCAGCTCTAATTCTCTGAGCTGGAAGTTATCCGAACGGTTTTTTTTTCCTCCGCCGAAACAAACTTAGCTTTATGAGATTCATTTTTGTGTGCTGGTCATTGGTGACCGGGGTACGTGCACAATGAACGTTCCCCATTCACGCTTCTTTTTAAACCTTTTTCATTAGTCATCTTTATTGTCGTGGTCAGTGTCACGTCCTTCCAGGAAATGATGGGGCGCTATCATTTGCAGTAATATTCATCACCCCGTGGACTCTCCTGGCAGCTTGTTATAGATATTGCGATAGGCTTATGGCAAGGCACTGACCATTTCATCATTGAATCACCTGGCATGCCATTTCATGAGATGGGTCTCTTGCGTTGTGTTTAATGTCACGAAAACAATGTATTATGAGGTTTAATGATCGCTGTCTGGTGTGACTTTTTTTTCCACTGTTTAATGTTTTTTTGAGTACGTACTGATCCCTTATATTGTAGGGGTGTAACGACACGCGAATTCATGGATTTGTATCGATTCTCGAAGCCCGTGGACGCGTGCATTGGGTCGCGTGTGTAATAATCAATGTTGTTCAATGCGTAAATGTTGTACATAATTGATTATTATGTCACACAAACCGATACATAGGCATATATCAAATGTCTAATAATAAGCTGCGAGTGCATTTCGGAAAATGTCATACTGCTTTTTATTCATGGAACTGCCGTAATATCAGAATCAGAATCACTATTAGTACTGGAGAAATCCGATGAGTTATAAAGCTCTTTTTTCACAGATGCCCCGGAGACCGTGTAACGGTTAGCGTCATCCTCGACTTGCGATCCAGAAGTCGCCAGTTATATCTCCCGGCGTGGCAGTTGAGACAACGGTGCAAGGTTCTTAAACCCCCTGCCCCTGGCCGCCTCTGTCCACGTAGCAGTGTCAACGTGTTCACCGCGGTCAGCCGTTCGGCAGGGCGCGTGCTGTGGGGTAAAGTGCGGGTGCTCCCGCCGTCTCTTCTCGAAATGTCTGACCAGCATGGAAGAGTAGGCCAAAAATACCCTCTTACAAGGGCTTTCTAGTGCCCTCTATAGTGCCGCAACAGACAATTCAGGGCTGCGCCTTTACCTGATACATCGTTTCATGAGCCCTGGGACACGCACGCCTCTATGTCTTTGTGCGTTTCCGCGGAGCAGCGCAGAACGTCGCTGTTCACAGAACAATCTCCGCTCTATTCTGGCCACCTTTTTTTTGCAAGCCGCGTGAGCCCTGTGTGTGTGAGTGAGTGCGTGCTCCGAGAAGCAGACTCCCTCTTGTTTACGCTCGGCGGTGACGGCGCTTAGAAAAACATCGTCCATCGGCCGCGTTTTATCGCCGGGACGGTTTACGTCTGGCGCGTCTAGCGGCTAGCGAGAGTCCACGCGTGATCCCTGAAGCGTCCCAGCTGCGCCCTGCCTTGCGAGCGGCAGAGCGAAGGGACGGTAACTACGATGGGGACGACGATGGCAAACGATGATTTCGACGTGCTGGAATTTAATTATCGCGCAGTGCAATAGCTCATTGACAATCAAATGTCGCGTTTGTAATTCGATTCTGTTCTTGCTGATGGTAAAATGTTTGCCACTCACGAGAGGGCTTCAGCAGAGAGTTGGTGTCGTTTTGCTGTTCCTGCACCTCCGTTGATGGAGTGCAGACTAAAGTGGTTCACTATTTGGTCCATAGTTGCATGGCCACAAATTGCACCACTTGTGGCGTGCCTTTAAATCGCAACTCACGTGGGAGATGTGCACATCGGCATGTTGCAGGGACTGTGAGCATGTTCAATTGTTACAGGACTTTCACTCTGTGTGACTTATAAATATATCAGAATCAAAAATATTGTATTTATCCTGGAGTAATCTGGTGAGCTATAAATGTATTTTTCACAGATGTCCAGTAGATTCACAGATGTTGTAATTTATATCTTGACTTAAAGCTTTCGCGACTGCAGGAATCCATTTTCTTTGGGTCTTTCGGTAAAGCCACGTAGATAGAAAAATAATTATAAAAATATCACGACGTTTCGATTGCTTGTGTTGCGATCGAAATGTCGTGATATTTTTTTTTCTATCTACGTGCCTTTACCGAAGGACCCAAAGAATGTTGTTCTTTATATGTTTATGACTCCCACCTCTTCCAAGACATCTGGACAATGTGGGAGATTGATTGCTGATGATGCAGATTTTCATTATGATGATGCTTGTGTTGATGATGTAGCTGCTTATGATGATGACGATGCAGCAGCTGATTACAACACACCAGACGATGACGATGATGGCGATCGTGTGTGAGGCTTTCATTTATCCCTTTGTTTATCTGCCGCAAAGTTAACCAGACCCTGACTCTCTCCAATCTCTAACGATCCCCCCCTTCCTCCTCGATCCTCCTCCTGCCCCATCCTCTGCCACCTCCGAGGAAGAGTTCACGTTGTGACGGAACGCGCTCGGATTCGTCGCGCTCGCGTCGGGCACTCCGCGATGCCGTCAACTCAGCATGCGGCCGATCGTGGCCACGGCTCGGCAGATTGTGCCACCTGCGTCCTGCCTTTTCATCTCGTCGGGGGCGTCCTTCGTTCGGCTCTTTTCTATTCCCATAGGGCTGCTCGCTGACAGAAGCGCACGGTCATTTTGCGCGCTGTGCGTGTGTTCTGCGTGTATTGCGCGCGTGTTGCGCGTGTGTTGCGCGCGTGTTTTGCGTGTGTTTTGCGTGTGTTGCGCGTGTGTTCTGCGTGTGTTGCGGGCGTGTTGTGCGTGTGTTCTGCGTGTGTTGCGCGCGTGTTGTGCGTGTGTTCTGCGTGTGTTGCGCGCGTGTTGTGCGTGTGTTCTGCGTGTGTTGCGCGCGTGTTGAGGAGCAGCAGGGCGGTTGTTTAGTAGGGAGCCGTTGGGCTGGTTGTACATTTGGCTTTTGTGCAAAGCGTCGGTGTATCGCTTGCAGCCCGATCGGATGGGAAAAATTAAATCGTTGCGTCTTTTTTGTAATTGGGACTGCGTTTGTCATCATTTTTCAAACGCCAACGTGATTTCTTGTTCGAATGAGCATTGGTGTTCATCTCCTATATACCAGCCCTTAGCCGGTGGTGGAAATTTCACATTAGTTCAGCAAGGGCAAGTGTGTCCATCGGGCATCCACTGTTGATTTCCTAAAAGGTGGGACTCATTTTAACAACCCTAGAGGGAGGATGAGGTTGTTTGAACCCCCAAGCCAGGACTCGAACCCACAAATCTCTGATTGCGAGCTGCTCGCTTCACCGCTGATCGGCCACATTGCCACCGGTTTTAATAATTTCATTAAAACTGCTTGTGTTTATACTCTCTGGTTTTATTCGGTAAAGTCACGTTGATAAAATAAAACAAAATAAAAGAAAACAATTAAACCACGACGTTTCGGAGGCAACACAAGCTTCCGTCTTCAGTTGGAATAGTCACAGAAGAATATCTGTGTCAAGTGCACAGCTCTGAGACGATCGGGTTTAATTTGTTGCCTTTCCCCCGTACCTCCGATTAGCGCGGCTGGCTACGTACGGTGTGTGAAAGAAATTTCAGAAGTTCAACACGTATTTTAAAAAAAATATATATTATTATTATTGAAGTCCACATTGCTAAAAACTCGTCCCACCGCTCCACACATCTAACCGTGGCCCGTCTGTATTGGCTGTCGGGCGTCTCTTTGTCTCCGTGTGTACTCCGCGCGACGCGCGTTGCAGTGTGCGGCCGCCCGCGCAAGCCGCTGGCCGGCGCGTCGGACCGCAACATGGCAGGGCGCGAGCGCATCGCGGGGGGCACCCCCGCGGCTCGTGGCGCGTGGCCGTGGATGGCGGCGCTCTACCAGCTGAGGGGCCGCCCGTCCTGCGGAGGATCCCTCGTTGGTGAGGACGGACACACAAAAAATGAGATTAAAAATTGCGTGTGTTTTGCGCGCGACGTCGTCGGGTTCAACGCTTCGGTGGTGTCGCACGCGCCGAGTCACTCCAGACGCTTGCTCGCTAGCGGCCTGCGGTCGCTGCGGTGGCTAGGAGATGTTAACTACCTCGCCTGGTGTGCAGGAGGCCGCGGGTTCAATCAGGACCCTGACGACGCCTGGATATTTGGAGTTTGCGTATTCTCTCTCTCCCAGTGGTCGCGTGGATTTTTTTTTATTCCGATTTTTTCCCTCCACATTTAGAGGCACGCGGTTAAGAGTATTTGGCTGCTATAAATGTCCACGTGATAAGCCACTTAATTGGGCTATCATTTGTGGCCTGGTCGCATCTAAAAAAGAGCTATATATCTCAGTGGGCCTTACCTGAGACTGAGTTTAGTCTATCGCTACTACGACTGTGCTTACTGTTAAACGATTAACTTTACTTGGGGTTGCTGCTCCCTACATCCAGGAGTTGATTCAGCCACAAACTCCACTGTCTCTGTTAGTCTTAATATAAATGTTCACTACGGCAGTTGGCTCTCGTCGAAGGAATGTGGATTTTTTTTAATTACTCACAGTGTGCCAATAATGGAGGAGAACATCAATCTCAGATCCAGTATGGGGGGGCAGTGACCTCCGTCCAGTGCCGGATGATCCTAGCAGCAAAAGTAGCGACACATATTCATGGGATCCGCGCTAAATGCTTTCAAGCTATCAATTCCGGTTCTGTGATTCTGCACTTGCTCTATTACTATAGTACTATACTGCCTTCAACTTGTATGAACCACTGGGTGTTTAAGGGTAGCGATTTGTCGTATTTCTCTGTCTGCCTTCTACAGCCACCGTAGTTGACCTTGTTGGCGCACATCCCGCGTACGTGACGGAAACTTATCTGCAAAGACTGTAACTATTAAAAAAATAACGCGTTTTTTTTTAATTGAGAGATTTACCGCAATCAAATATGAATTGCAAATGATTTAAATACATGAAATCGAATAATCAAATGCATTGAAAACAGCAAGATTGAACGTAATTATTAATTAAAATTAACATTTACATGACTTTTTTATACACGACAAAGGCTTCAAAAAAATGTCGCGATGTTTGTCCCAACTCCCTGCCCCCCCCACTCCATCTTCCTCGGGGGGTGCTGTCTGGCCGTCTTGGTTAGAACACGAGACTCGCAATCCAGAGGTCCCTGGTTGATCAGGCAGCTGCGATAATTGAACCAATGCTTAAGCTACACCCCCCCCCTCCACCCCCTCCACCCCCCACCACCCCCTCCACCCCCTCCACCCCCACCACCTCTCTGTTCACCCAGCAGTGGAATTGGGTACGGCACAGTCGTTCGCCAGGCCGCGTGCGGTGGGGGGGGGGAAGTTGTGGGTCCTCCTCCCAATGCGTTTACCACTTCGTGCAAGAGTAGGAGGGCGAATAACTTCCATAGAGGCTCCCGAGAGCCTCCTAGAGGCCCGTCCGCCGGCAGCTGCGGGGCTGAACCTTTACCTTTTAAAACCCGCTGTAATTGTTTTTTATTCAACCCCTGATTTACTATTTTCCCTTTGCCTGAAGCAAATTTGTTTACAATTTGTAACGTTTCGAGCACCGTTCTGCGTTGCCCCTACCCAATATTGTCACTTTCCTTTCCAAGAATTACATTCTATTTATCTTTACGCATTTAACATTGCAATTTTCCTTATTTATTAAGCTGCGTGCAAATTGTATGCAAGCATGGTCAACTACAGTCGATGCTCGTGAAATGTTAAATGTTTTTTTTTTATATATAATCTGTTGCGTGATACATTATATTATGTAACCCATGTCGCGCTTACTTGAAGTATTTTAAATAGGCAATGCATCGTGTGTACTCAAGGAGCCTGTAAAATTAAGGATAATATGGCTACTATTGAAAGACGTAAACATACACACGTGGGCTTGGGCAACAGAAGGGATGAAGAGACCAATGGTCAAGATAACTAACAACGAAGTGGCAGCCAAGGAATGGGATGCATCCAATTTGGGTCAGACACCGAGGAGACGGAGCGATAAAATCAGTTTGTGCACGGGTACCAGGTGGATTATTACTTTGCGAGAGGTTCGAAGTCTCAATTGTATTTTGGTTTAACTTGGTGAGAACTCAAGAGACCGGGGATAGTCTCGTTTACAAGAGTGACCTGGGGTATCAGTCTGCCAGTGGGTGGTGGGGGCAGGGGGTGAGCGATGATTGCTGCTTCCAGTGTGTGTGGTGTGATCCCAATTGAGTAATCTTCAGATCATTTACGAATTCGGGAGACAAAATTGGACGCTTGCCCCCCGGCACACGATTGGCCAGCTCTCGGGCACGACATCAAGGAATGTTTTCACGTCCGCTGTGAAGCATTGGACGTAACGTGGTTCGTGGGGAGCGCCGACGCAGCGGTTAGCGCGGCTAGCGCTACGAACCCGGCGACGTCCAAGTTCGATTGCCGCTCACGGGCCAACGCCAGTGACGATTATTTTAACCGGGAACCTTCCCTAGGTTGACTTAGCCTCGATTGAGTATCTGGTGCGGTGTGTAGTAAACATCGCCACTGGGAGAACAAAGGCGGTCGGGCGTGGTGCTGGCCACCCCCTCGTGTACCGTGCCAGCCCTTATAGGTGCTCGTTAACAGCACATGCCCCAACAGTCTGTTAAGGCAACACGGCGCGGGATCTTTGTCGTTGTGTCGTGGATAAATGCACACCGCAGCAATAATCAGGGCGGCCGTTGGATCCGAACCGTGGGCCTCTGCATGTGCCGCAAGCGGCGAACGCGCTTCCGCTGGGCCAGCCGCATCACCGCCCGGCTTCGGGAGAGGCGACTGCTTGCTTGGGGGCGGAGGGGTGGGGGGGGAACCCTTCCTCTAGCAGTAGATTGACTGATGATGACGACTGCGACTTTGACGCCCCTTTGCTATGCGCGCAGGGGAGCGGTGGATCGTGACGGCGGCGCACTGCCTCTTCACGCGGCACTTCGAGAATCAGCCGACGCCGGTCTCGGCCAGCGGCATCCACATCAAGCTCGGTGAGCACTGCGTGCCCGAGCACACTGCGTTGTGCACCTCCCAGTTAGCACGGTTGACTACGTACGGCGCGAAAGAAGTCCGTTTCTCTGAATTCCCACTCTTTATTCGTGTTTTTCTCTGTGTGAGTGTGTCAGAGGCAGTGTTTTGGGGAGCGGTGGTGTAGCGGTTAGCGTGCTTGTGCTACAAACCCGGCAACCCGGGTTCGATTCCCGCTCACGGCCAACACCAGTGACGATTATCTGAACCTGTCCTGGGCCTCCCCTAGGTCGACTCAGCCTCAAATTAGTACCTGGTGCGATGTTTAAACATCGCCGCTAGGGAGACAAAGGCGGCCGGGCGTGTTGTTGGCCACCCACCCCATCGTGTACCGTACCGGCCTTCATAGGTGCTCGCGAACAGCACTTGCCCCAACAGTCTGTTACAGGCTATACAGGAGATTGTTGTCTTTGTTACATCTCTGTGTCCGTCTCTGTCATCGTCCTTTGTAAGTGACCTCGTCTGCATTTGGCCTTGCGGATCAACACGATGTTTCCAAATTTCCTTTTCTCTATTCATCTATTCCGTGTCTGTCTCCTTCCTGGTCTCTCTGTGTCTCTGTCTCTTTGAAGGTTCATCTGTGTCTCAGTCTTAATGCATATCTCTGTGTCTCTGTCTCTTTACTGAGTTGGTGAGTGAGTGGATGAATAAGTGAGTGGGTGAGAGGGTGAGTAAGTGAATGAGAGAATGGATAAATGGGTGGGTGAGTGAATGAGTTAGTAGATCGATGACTGAGCATGCACATCAATGATTGCATGAGCGATTGAGCGAGTGAGCGAATGGATACCACGCTGATGATTGGGTCATTGAGCGAGTTGGTGAGTGAGCGTGTCAGCGAGTCAAAGTCGAGAACGAGTGAATGGGTGAGTGAGAGTTCGAATGAGTCAAGCGAGTAAGCAAGCATGCGAGTGCAGCCGATGAACGAGTGGGCCGAGGTGAGTAACGTTCTAACCAGCCCCTACTGGAACACCTATGAAAAAGAGCTTTACAGCTCATCGGATTCCTCCAGTAGAAATACATATTCTGATTCTGGGAGGGTTTGCCGGGCGAGCGGCCGATGCGAGCGAGTGGGCGAGCGAGCACTGTGCCGGCGATTGCTGCAGGCAAGCACAACACCTTGCGCCCGACGCCGGGCGAGCTGGACCTGAAGGTGGCGAACTACGTGGTGCACCCCGAGTTCGACGCGCAGACGCTGCGGAACGACATCGCCGTGCTCGAGCTGGAGCGCAACGTGCGCGTCACCGACCTCATCGCGCCCGTGTGCCTCCCGGACGACCGCGTCCAGACACTCACCACGCCAGGCAAGCCGTGCCTCGACCGCCAGCCGAGCCGCTTCTCCCCGAGTCGTTCGGATCGGCCGGATTCTTTTTTTTTTTTACACACCGGGACGATCAGCACAAAGCTCCGTGCCCCGTCACGCGATGTTTCTTGACTCGCAGCGGTTGGCTACAAACTTTCAATGTAAGGCCGTAGATGTGTGCGTGCACAGTCAACTTCTTTCGCACCGTACATAGCCAACCGCGCTAATCGGAGGTGCGGGCGGTGGGGGGGGGCAAGGACACCAAACTAAACACAAAAAGCAGATGTGAGTGTACTCTCCAGACGACTGTACGTAGACCATGGACCTGTCATTATTATAATGACAACGCCTGTTTACCCAGGAAAGCCCTAACCGACTTTGCGCGATGGCGAGGAACCTACCGCGTTTGGCGCGGATATTTTAAGCACGGCTATTCCTGTTGAGTCGTTCACGGTGCCGTTTTTCTAAATCGGCGAAAATTATTGACCGTTAATGCCAGCACGCAATTTGCCCAACTCTTTGCGATTGACGTTCAGCTGTCCCCCCTGATTCAATCGAATACATTTCTACAGACGTTAAAAAAAAAGTTCGTCGCTTTTTGTTTAACCTCATCTCCGTCAAAACTACTTTCACCCAGTTTTAAATGCAGCGTTTCAATCGGTTGCTTTCTTATCGCGTAAGGCGCTTCGAGATGCCCCCCCCCACCCCGCCCTGGCACGAAGTGGTCATTCTCTCAAACAAAAAACAAACTAACAGCGACCGTCAGATGACATCGGGTTAGAATCAGAATGGCAGAATGCGCGTGCTTACCGATCGGCCTGCTGTGTTTTTGTTGTTGTTGCTGTGCAGGCACCATGCTCGCTGTGACCGGGTGGGGTAAAGAGTTCCTCTCCAAATACCCGGAAACTCTCATGCAGGTGAGTGAGACGGTGGTGGTGGAAGCGATGAAATCAATTTGTGCGCGGATTGCCAGGTGGATTTTTACACTGCGAGAGGGTTCGAAGTCTCAATTGTATTTTGGTTTAACTCGGTGAGAACGCAAGAGAGTGATCTGGGGTAGTGTAGTGGGCGGTGCGCTGCGCTACGAACCTGCCGACCCGAGTTTCGATTCCCACTCAGGGACAACACCGGTGACGATTATTTGAAACCGGTCTGGGCCTCCCCTAGGACGACTCGGCCTCAAATGAGTACCTGGTGCGGTGTGTAAACATCGCCACGGGGGAGACAAAGGCGGTCGGGCGTGGTGCTGGCCACCAACCACCTCGTGTACCGTTCCGGCCTTCATAGGTGCTTGCTAACAGTACTTGCCCCAATAGTCTGTTAAGGCTATACGGGGGATCTTTGTCTTTGGTGGAGTCAGCCCATTGGGAGCTCCCCGTCCCCCCACACTTTTCACCCCACTCCCCCACCCCGCCCCCTCCCACCCCCTATTCATTTTTTTAAACTCCCAGTGAGATGACAGAGAGATGTGCACAAGAAATGGAGATGTGGCGAGATGAGAGAAATGAAGACACAAAGACGGAGGTGGATTGAGATGAGAGAAGAGATGAGAGAGATCAAATTGATTTTTTTTACGTTCCATTGGATTTTTACGTAAGTTAATAGCTGAATTCAGTTCAGTTTCAGTTTATTTTGAAGTACCTCGCGAGCTAAGAAGCTCTTTAATGGGGTTTCATCAGCATGAAGTATTGGTTCCCTGGCAAGTGTAGCGTGCATAACAGGTCGGAAGAAAATTAGAAATCAAAAGAAATGCATAAGAGAAAAAAAATTGGCAACAAATCACATGTCGAGTATAATACAGAATTATCTTTTAAATATTTAACTAACGTGAGGATTATTGATTGAAGAACATATTGCAAATGAGGCGTACAAACACAAGTGGTAAAATTGTTTCCCTGAGAAACATCAAATTCAAATTTACAGTAACAATTACAACAATCACGATATTGCACTGACTAAAATAATGCAGCGTCTAAATATATCGCGCAAAACATAGTGCAATAAGTCATGAAAAAAATATGAGAGGTCACCTACAGGCAAATAATATTCACGCAGCATCTACTTGCGTATGCAGTGGCAGCTTGAATTGAACCTGTTTTTTTATATTAATCTGGGGGTCCCTTAAGTTGCTAGGGTCCCTAAGGTTTGATGAAGTCTCGTGCCACCCACTGAGGTGAGGCCACCCATTGCACCTCCTGAATGTCGTGACACACTCGCAACAGTTGTGGGGGGGGGGGGGCAATCTTCGGTGGCAGTTTGCACCCCCCCCCAGGAATACATTTACTGTGAGAAACTCTGTCCACTTTTTATCGACAAAAGTTGTGGCAACACAAGCAACGGAGCTCTCGTCTCGCTAAGGAGACTAGAGATTGCTCAGAAGAATGCTTGGAGAGCGATGATTGGCCTAGAGAACGCACAACCTCGGGGAAAGCACGTGACCTCTGTCTCATTGGAAGTCACAATCCCAGTTGCCCACTCGGAGGAGCAATCAGATTTGCCCAGTTTTGCCCAATTATTAGTATTTTTTTACAACATAAAATTGCCATCGACGATTTACCCTAGAATTGCCCTTGCGTATCCATGGCCTTGAGTGTGGCAGCTGTGAACCAATGTACATTCACGTGTGTACACACATTAAAATTCCGTTTTATTATTGTCATAAAAAAAAATGTTGTATCGCAACCTGCAAGTACTCGAGGGGCTTCAATATTTCGCGTTTCTTTTGCCGTCGCGTGTGCCGGCAAGACGGAAGTGCCGCTCGTGGATAACACCACCTGCCAGGAGGCCTACAGCCAGACGGTCCCGTCCCACGTCATCTCGGAGGACATGCTGTGTGCCGGCTTCCACAACGGTAGCTCCCCTCTCTCCCTGCGACACCGTGTGCTCCACCGCCTCTGCGTAACCCATGACCCCGCGTGCTTCACCCGCCATGCCTGTAAACTCCTTATCAGTGACCTACCTTATTACAGACCAACTTAGACCTTATTGGTCACCCCGTGCACTTATAAATTTCAACGTTCATCCAACAAAGTCTCATCACAAGGGAGTAACACAAACAAATAGACAAAACATATGTTTTGCCCGTATTGAAACGGCTGCACGCCATATGGACCAGAATACGCAATTCCCCTGTGCAAGAACACGGATGGGTAAACCGGATTGGTTGACAGGTGTGCACCACCTCTCTGTGACCCACGACCCCGTGTGCTCCACTGCCTCTGTGTGGCCCGTGACCCCGTGCGTGACCCGTGACCCCGTGCATGCGTGCCGGCAGGCGGGCAAGACGCCTGTCAGGGCGACTCGGGGGGGCCGCTGGTGGTGAAGGACCCGTCTGGCGATTGGCTGCTGACCGGCGTGGTGTCGTGGGGCGAGGGCTGCGGGGCGGTGGGCGCCTACGGAGTCTATTCGCGCGTGGAGCACGCTCTGCCCTGGATCCTCTCCATCATTCAATCTCCGTGACGACCGCCACCACCCCTCCCCCCCCCCCACCAACACCCTGCTCCCCCTTCTGGCGGCACCTCAACGCCAGGTGACCCTCCCCTCACTTCTTCAGCCGTGGCGCAGCGCCCGCCTCACCAAATGTGTTTGGCTGCGACGTGGGGGAGGCTTGATTCATGCGTCGTTTAATTCGGTGCTTCCCAGCCCAATGTAATTAGAACAAAAATTCTCCCAGCATTCATTCATTCGGGTCGGATGGGCTGCAGCGCTAATTGCAAAAGCCCACGGCCGATCGCGGGCCCTGCTTGCACCGACACGTGGCTGGCGCTCGTCCGCAATGCCAGCCCTGAGCCGGTCGCGGAAATTCCACATTTGTATGTCAGGGACGAGTGTAGAACTTGGGTTGAACTCGCGTTCGAATGAGCGTGGGGAGGGGTAGGAGGGGGGGGGGGGGGTCCTCAACACCGTTCATGTCTCTGAGGCCAGTGGCGGACATTTCGAATTTCTCCAATGGAGGGCTTCTCCCTCTGGAGGTTAAAACCACTGCTGTTGGATTTTTTTTAATTCTCATCAAGCGGTGTTCATCGGTGGCACGATGGGCTAAGTCGACCCTCGCCGGGATTCAATACTCGTGCTATTCGGATGGGGCTCACCCACCGCAACACCATGTGGCCAAATTAATAATTTAATAAACACCTCCCCTTGCAAATAAACCCAACCCCCCCCCATGCTCCAGCAGTTTTCCACGCTTAGCGTTCACCGATTGCCTTCATTCAAGGCAGTAGCAGTCACGCGCACACCGCAGCGAGCCCCGTGTTGGTGTTTGCAGAGCGGTGGATCGTGCTGGTGTGCACAAGTATAGGACAGTTGTGGAGAAACCCGTGGATTATTTCGACGATGCTGTCCCTCTAAAGTTCGTCGGGCGAACCTCGTGCGAATCCTGAGTTCCCCGAGTGAGGCGATTTGCACCACTGTTTTATTTTTTTTAAAAGCACTGCAGGTAGGCCGAGCTTAAGGGGAGAGGGGGGAAATGCTGCATCAGAGCACTGAATCGGCACCACTGTGAACCTGGGTTCGAATCCTGGCTTCAGGCACTCGTGATTGAACCGGGTTTCTCGGGTTCGTAAGATAATGGTCGCAGATCGGTCACCAGTAACTGCCCAAACTTGGGCTTATCACTTAATTTTAGCACGATTAGCACGGTTTGGTTACTTACGGTACGAAATCATTTCAACCCACATACATACAATTCGGCTTGTTCTCCCTCCCATGATGATAACAATATAGGGTTTGATTCATACGCGACGGACACCATTTTGTTAGGCCTTATGGAAGGTGTGCCCCGAAGGGAGATAAGAGGCCTTGTTAGGTAACTTCAAAACTAGTTCCAGGACATCAACTTCCAGGTTCATTTTTTTGTTTTTTACACGGGATAGTGCACTGCTAGCTTTGAGAGTTCAGAATGTAAAGTTTGATTTCTTGTTCCACGCCTGCATTGCTACGGTCGGATTGTGACTGCGAGAAGACAAAACAGAGGGCACAGCTTCTCCTGGAGCTGTAATTTTGTTAACATCATCATGAGCCATGATCAATCCGCTGCTGGATGAAGGTCTTCCCAAGCCCTTGCCATCTTTCATGGTCCTACGGTGTAATCATCCACTCAGCACCTGCAACACGAGCTTATTTCAACGCTCCATCTCCCAGGCGTACGTACCTCTCCGATGCGTTACAATTCCAAGCTGCCACTCCGTATTATTAGCCATCGGCCATCATCCCTTCTCGCGACGTCTCCTGCCTCACCCCGCTGACTCTTATTAACAGTGTGAATGATGTCATTAACCTGCGTACGCTCACTAATTTACGCGTTCCTCCAATCCGTCTCGCGATGTAATTCCAAGCACGCATCTCTCTGTTATTTTTTTCAGCCAATTTTAAATGTTTCTTCCACTTTAATTATTATTAATATTTGTGTTACATATCCCATTATACCTCCGCAGAAACACACCACATTATGAGGTTTAACCTAAAATAATCACCCAAATTGGTGAAAGGCTGTTCATTAATGGTTACCCACCATCCAACTCCCCCCCAGCCAGCGTACCCATAATGGTCAGGATTAACCCCGAACCCTTAGCCCTTATTAATTTCACAGGCTGCTTGGGCAGACGGCTCGCTCACAGGCAGGCAGGGGCACCGCACCACACTATGGACGTGCAGTGGCCGGAAAGAGAAAACATCACAGAGCATCAAGGGAATAAAAAAAATCGAAATCCCGCTGAACGGAATTACGTCCGCGTGGTGGTGCTTTTATATGTCCTCGCTGTCCCAGTTAGATGGGGCATTTCATTCAATTCGGTGCGCTGTCCTGCGCAATGAGTCTGGCCTTATTAAAACCAGCCACTCCATCCACTCCCCCCCCCACCTCCGTGTCTCCCCGCACTCTCCGAACCACTTAGGTCACCCACGGTGAGGACTCCGTCTTGCCACACCGATCGTTTCGTCTCATCCATTACCGTATTCAGCCACCACACACACACGGCAGGGCACAACAACACGCTCATGCAGCCACTCATCCACCCACCCACTCGCTCGCTCACCTCCTCACCCACTCGCCACGCTGCAGGTCACCTCGGTTCCCTTTCTGCTACTTCCCATGCACTGCTTCCTACTTCGGTATTCCTTCCTCGCATCAACATTTTTTTTTGGTGCGTGTTTATCTTGTTGTCCTTCCCCTGCGCCTCCGATTCCCGCGGGTTGGCTGCGTTCGGCGCGAAAGAAGTTCAACCTGCGTACACACACTATCGTCACTGTCGCTTTATCCCCGAGCTCTTACAACAATAACCTCGGCTCAATTCGAGGAACGCGTTAACTAACTCTTGACCTGTTACGACTCTGACAGCGCAAGTTTGTCGCTGGCCGCTTGACGCTTCGGGCGACTGTGGGTGGTAAGTTAAATAAAAACAACCCATGACCGCCCCGCGGCTAATGGCCCGAGTGGTGGGCAGCGGGGGGTGCTTTGGGGTGGCCGTGCGTGCGGCCAATACCGAATTGGGCGGCAAGGCGGAACGCCGCGGCCGGAACGCGAGCGCCCGACACGCGCCGCGTGTGATTCCCATTGCGCGGCCAGTGACATTTTTCCGACATTTCGCTCAAACGCGGTTTTTGCGCTTGCGCCTCCACCGCCGGAGTCCAGCCTCCAAAGGCGGCCGAGTCGGCGTGACTTTCCCGAAGGCCCGAAGGGCGCTTTCGTGACATTCCGCGACCACTGCCCCCCACCCACCCCCACCCGTCAACCCCCCCCCCCCCCCCCCCCCCCCCCACTGTCGCCATTCGTCCACAAAATCGAATTTCTAATTGTCGAAAAAAGAAAATAAACAGACATCTGTATTTGTGTAAACAGCGGGTTTGTGTTCAGGCCAGCATTTGGAAGGGGCTCCTTTGGACCACGTTTTAACGACAGCGTTTGTGTTGAAGCAGCAAAAGCCCGAATTGGTTTCAACAATTGTTGGTCCTTCAAAAATAAAAATGTTCACGAGCCAAGGGCAGAAAGAACACGCAGGTTTTTGTTGCCAGAGAAGGCCCCTCGAGAGCTCCTCACTGCCGTGGAGGCCCTTCCGCCACATCTATGTACGTATGTTGAACTTCTTTCGCGCCATACGTAGCCAACCGTGCGAATCAGAGGTGCGGGGGAAGGACAGCAAACCGCCAGCAGTGGCATGAGCAATACATTTCAGGGCTGCACCTTTACCTAGCATCGGTTCTGATATTTCCACCTTTCATAAAACCCAGCGATCCTGTCTAGGGTCCCAGAAGAAAAAATCCTTTTGGTGCAGTGTCAATGCGCACCGCGTGACATTTATTAAGCTTCATGGCGCCCGCTCCGTCGGCGTCGTGAAACACTCTTAGGCAGGGAAATAACTGCAACAAAAAAATTACTTTTACGAAAAAAAATTTGGCACTAAATCAACGAGGCTCCTGATTTGCCTTGCCGTGGGCTCCACGTGCGGCGGCGCAGGCCCCGTGGCGTCAGACGAGACCCACACGGACGCAAAGGTAAAGATCCCCCATATAGCCTGACAAAAACGTTGGGGCAAGTGCTGCTAGTGAACACCCATGAACACAGGCGCAGCACACCAAGTGCCACGCCCAGCCGCATTTGTCTCCCGAGCGGCGATTATAATCATCACCGGTGTTGGCCGTGAGCGGAATCGAACTCGGGTCGCCGGGTTCATAGCGCAGCGCGCTAACCGCTACCCACCACCGCTCCCCACATACACCACACACACCACACACGATTCGCAGCGCGCGTCCGTCACTGGACAACATTGACGATGGTGACAGACCCGTGGCAGCTGAACTCATTCCTTAAGCCGGAGGGAGTGGGGGGAGGGTAAAGTGGAATCACGGCAGGCTCTGTCGCATTCCCGCGGTGGCACTCGCCCGTCAGGTGGAAAATCACGCGTGACGACACAACGCGCCGTGGCCACGCAGTCGCAGTCCACCACCCCCACGCGCCTCGCGATGACCAAATCTGGCAGTTGCAAAGGCAGCTTCCACTTTATCGAGCGAGGATGGGAATCCTGTTTCAACCTGCGCAACGTGAAGTTTCCTTGTCTGGAAGGGGTGCGGCAGGAGCGGAAGCGTGGCGGTCGCTCTCCACTGGCCTTTCGGGGTTTGTGCCGCGTGCTGCTCGGTCTACGGTGATTGCGACGTTGCGCTGAACGTGCCGCGGGCGGTTCTGCTTCCGACTTGAGCTCCTGAAGAAGCTCCCGGCACGTGGAGCGAAAGCTGTGGAGTCGGCTCAATTGTATTGGCCGGGTTGGATGGACTGATGGCCACGCCTGCTCACTGAGAGCGCACCAGATGGCAACACTCCGTCTGCACCCCCCCCGTGACAGGCTAATGAAAAGCTGAATTGTCCATATTCGGTTTTGAAATATTCAATTCCTAAAGCAACTCCCAGCACGAGGAGCGAAAACGTCGGACTTTGTGCCGAACAGCACGCAGTAGAATCTGAAACTACATCGGATAGCTATACAGAACAGCCGCGAATACCTATTCGTTATTCGAAGGTTTGTGTTGTTTGTGCAGCGCTAGGTTTGTTAACAGTTTTTAATGTTCAAGTGCGCGCTTGTGTGTGTATGAGGGGAGCGGTGGGGTAGAGGTTAGCGCGCTGCGCTACGAACCCGGCCACCAGAGTTCGATCTCCGCTCACGGCCAACACCGGTGACGATTATCTGAATCGGTCATGGGCCTCGCCTAGGTAGACTCGGCCTCAAATCAGTACCTAGTGCAATGTGTAAACATCGCCACTGGGGAGACGAAGGCGGGCGGGCGTGGTGTTGGCCACGCACCCCCTCGTGCGCACGTGCCGGAGTTCATAGGTGCTCGCTTACAGCACTTGCCCCAACAGTCTGTTACAGGCTATACGGGGGATCTTTGTTTTTCTTGTGCCGCCACTGAATTAGCCACGCACGACATCACCAACCGTAGCCTGTCTCCGGAAGAAGGCAAAATTTGTTTCACCCCCTGCTTTGAACATAATTACATTTTAATAAAAAAATGTTCAACGGGAGGAGGGCGAAGACAGATTGGGGTCACAGCAAACATTATTGAGTTGCGTTTAGATTGAGGGGCTCACGTCCCTTGTACGTTGTTTTTTTTTTTCACACCAAACATGTGAGTTTGCCTGCCATTGCGATGGCGTGAGCGGCAAATTGGGGGGGGTTTCTCCATCTGTCCTGGTCTGTTAAAAAAAATACAGAAATACTCGGGGCAGAGAGAGAGGAGAGAGAAAGGAAACTGGTAAAAAGAAGATCTGTAAGAACAGAACCTAAGAGGTCACCACTCAGAGGAACGTGAACATTAACTCCCCGAGGGGAGAGTGGAGGGGGGGCTATGAGGGATCGTGAGATTGAAGGTAACCACGCGGTGCTGCGCAATGTACTGTTACACATTGTGTATTGTTTGCTGTTCTTGTGAATCCGCGTTTGGCACAGGTGCACGAATAACGCAAACGCGTTGGTCAACGGCACTGCCCGAGAAGCAAACCAATCTAAACCATAGGCCACGTGTCAGGCATTGGGTCCGTTTTCGCCCGAATGTGTTGTGTACAAACTTGTGTTAGGCCAGTGATGTGGACGAACGTGATGCGTTCGTGTCATTCGCGTGCGTGAGAGCACACGCACGCGCCGACTCCGCAAGAGAGGCAGGAACAACTCTAGCGGCACGTGTCGATGGGACTTTCACGGGCGTGGATGAGAGGAGCCGACTCGATGTAAAATTGCTCAAACGGCTGAATAAATGAGAGAATTCGAACCAACTCTCATTACCTGGGCTTCCTCGTCACCGTCTACGGGGGGGGGGGGGGGGGGGACGCTACGCGACTCGTCCAGCGCGATGCTGTCGAGGCGCACAAGACCAGAAGCGAACACGAAATGGCAACAAGAGCAAAACTAAAAGAATGAGCCGTCGAATCGAACATTCAAGACTTGCAAATCCACGGACTCTAATCGAACGCGAGATTATTAAGTGTCGTCCGCTGTGGGAGCGGCGAATAAGTGGAATTTTTTTTTATTTTAATCCTCTTTGCAACGAATAACGGGGAATCCCGGCGCATGTGCGACGGAGGAGGAGGAGGCGTCAGGTTTCGACCGCTTCTCTGTGCTCTAAAGGAGGAAAGTCAAATAAAAAATATATATGTATTCAGTATAAACGTTTGTCAAACGTAAGAACACATGACGGATTGAACATCTCGTGGCAGATGCGGCCATATCGGACGCGCTTGGACCATTACGAATGGCCCACAGCACAGCTGCGGTCACCAATCTCAAACTACGGTGCACACGGGAACGTCACTGACCAATTCCGGCGTTAGCGTCTCTGGGTTCCTATGCAAGTCTATGCGAGTCTGCGTGAGTCTGTGAGCGCATGGGTATCTATGATTATCTGTGCGAGTCTATGGGTGTCTATTGCGTGGGGAGCGGTGGTGTAGCGGTTAGCGCGCTGCGCTACGAACCCAGAGACCCGAGTTCGACTCCCTCTCGCGGCCAACACCAGTGACGATTAACTGAATCGGTCCTGGGCCACCCCTAGGTCGACTCAGACTTAAATTAGTACGTGGTGCGGTGTAAACACTGTGATAGTGTAAACATTGTCACTAGGGAGACAAAGGCGACAGGGCGTGGTGTTGGCCACGCACCCCCTCGTGCGCCGTGCCGGAGTTCATAGGTGCTCGCTAACAGCACTTGCCCCAACAGCCTGTTAAGGCCATACGGGGGATCTTTGTACTTGTGTCCATTGTAGTTGCAAGTCTAAGGAATCTCCATGTCGAGTCTCTATCTCAAGTGGTGGGCCACACCGTGACGCCACTGCACGGCACGCTTCTCGGATTACCACCAGGCTCCTCCTGTGAAGCCCGTCCAACTGGTTCGCTCGCTAAGCTCGACGTGAACATTTAAACACCGCGGATCAACTCCCCCCCCCGGCGATGGGGCTTGACTTGACTTGGGGGTCGCACGCGACCGCTTCCACGTTCTTCACTTCGAGACACCGCCGTCTTCACGCACTTACCACGAGCGGCTTCCTGCCAATTGACCCGTCAAGTCGGGGTTGGGGGAGGGGGCGCTGCCGCGATGCCGCGATGTGATGAACAGCTATGCAATGAAGGCGGCATTTGCAGAGCAAAGTCTCGGCGAGGGAAATATAGCCCCTTAGTTTACTCAGGAAAGCCTCGGTTAAGTTTTGAGAACCGTTATTTTCCCAGCAGGGTCTCGCATCGGGGAGTTGTCTGGTCAGTGAATCTGTGAGCATTTTGCTTTGTTGGTAAAATTCAGACCAAAAGGTAAAGGAACAGCCCTGAAATCGCTTTCCTACGCCACTGCTGGCGTGAATGCCTCCATTATAGGGGGCGGGAGCTCTAGAAAGCCCTTGTAGAGGGTACTTGGCCTACTCTTCCTTGCTCGGCAGACATCTTTGAAGAACTGAAGGTACCCACGCTTTATCCTCCCAGCGCACGCGACCTGCTGCTGATCCGACTTACTGCGGTGCACCCATTTATTTGACGTGATAAACCTCGATTTAAAGCTTTCGTGACTGCAAGGATTCATCTTCTTTGGTTCTTTCGGTAAAGTCACGTGGAATGAGAAAACCGAAAGAACCAAAGAAGGTGATAAACCTCACTAATTAGCTGTGTCGGGTGGCGGTGGGTTTAACGACACATTTATATTTACGCGATCTAACCCAAAAAAAGCACCTATCATGGAGACAAAAACGGCGATCCAAAGGTATTTGAG